GAGTGCTCTCAGACTTCCTTCTGTGTAGACAGCACCAAAAGCCAAAATAAGCTATTTCGACTTAAGTTACGCAATTGATGTAGCTCAAGTTACATAGCTTATTTCGGCTTTAGCCCTGTTGTGTAGATGTACCCTAAATGTCCCCATCCATTGAATCTGTTTTGTACTGAATTCAATTTATTTGGCTGAAATTGGATGGAATAACCAGAATTCAAGATTGGGAAAAGCCTGCTTTCTCATCCTGTTAAACTAATCTGCACATTTTAAAACTAATCTGCACATTTTAAAATAAGTTACTGAACAGAGCTGTAGTTTTCTTTTCAGTTAACTAGTAACTAAACCATGTCGTCATTTATGTTCCTTTCAATCTGACAGCCTTAGTTAAAATTATTCATATTTAGTTGATGTGAGTTGTCCTAAATTTTCCGATTGAAATGAAGTGTTTTCAGATAAAGGGGAAAATATCAGTTGATGATGGAATCCATAGCAGTTTATTGCCTATACTTGCCTGGAAGGTCAAATTAAGGTAAGTAGATCCAGCTACAGATATGATGTAGATCTAGCTATGTTAATTGCGTAGCTGGAGTCAACACACCATAATTCAACCTTCTGCACCGTCTCCACAGCAGGAGGTTGACAGGGGAAATGCTCTTGTCAACTTCCCTTGCTCCTCATGAGGAGAAGGAGTTCCAGGATCAATAGGGAGGTCCTCAGCATTCAATTTAGTGGGTCTTTTCAAGACACACTAAATTAATCTCTGGAAGATTGACCACTGCAACATCAATCTTCTGGGAAGTGAAGATGTAGCCTGTGACTCTGCATTACAGTCAGTTCTCTTCTGTGCTTCTGGGTCATTGCAGTTACAGGCTGCATGTGCCTGTGAGGGGGTTCACTCACCACCACAGCACCCACTGCCGTCTGTCCTCAGGAATTAGCTTCTTTGCCTGGCGGGGTACCTTCACTCAGGTGGTGTTTCCCCTCTTTCCTCCAGGCGCGCGCATCCTCTTCAATACACTGCCCTCCAGCAGTGCCCATGTCAGTCTCTGAGCCCCCCTTCCGGGGGTGGTTGTTCCTTTCGCAGGCTGATATTCAGGCCCTGCAGTCTGGGGGTTTGCTTGGCCAGGGTTGTTCCTTTTGCAGGCCAATATTCAGGCCCTGCAGTCTGGGGGTTTGCTTGGCCAGAGCACCCCTAGCCTTGCCTCCCCAGCCCTGCCCTAGCTCCAGGGAGCCTCCTACTCCCCCAGCAGCCAAGCTCTCACTACCCTCCCTGGGAGCAGCCGCTCATGCTCTTATATAGCTCCCAGCTGGGCCCTAATCAACTAAAGCAGCCTCAGCTGGGGCTAAACTCCCAGGCCCTGCTCCAGGCTGGGGTTTGCTCTTAAAGGGCCAGTGCAGGGCAAACGCCCTGTCACAGTGCCCCATCTTGCTCATAAAACAGATAGCCCTAAAAGATTCTGTCAGCACAGTACAGACCAGATGTTAAAAATACATTCATGCAATTAAATTAAGAACTATTTTAAATGAAACAATTATAAGAATGAAAGTTTCTCTCATAGGATATTTGAATAGTTGTTATGTTGAGCAGTTCAAGCAATCTAAGAATACATTTTCTAAAGCATTCTGTAAAAGGTGTTTATGATCTACTTCTGGGTGTGATAGTGGTGGCGGGACATATATTAATAACCTTTAAGGAACATATATACCAATGCCTTCACTACCTACAGAAACCCTACTGGACTAAAACTGCTACATTGGGTTCCTTTACAATATTTATCCTCTTTTTCTGTTTGCAGATTCTCAGCAAATTTGTATTCAATTTGTACCTGGTTAAATGCTTTATCTGAAACAATTCTAGCCAATGGATTTAGGGTTGCCAACCCTCCAAATTTGACCAGGAATCTCTAAGAATTAAAGCTTAATCTTTAATTTAAAAGTCTCAGGGCTTAATCTGTAACTTTAAAAATAATGAGTAGTTCTGTGTTACCTTACAGACTAACAAAAATATCTATGGGTACGTCTAGACTACAGGGTTTTGTCGACAGAAGTTTTGTCGACAGATACTGTCGACAAAACTTCTGTCGACATAGAGCATCTAGACACATTCAGTTCTGTCGACAAAGCAAGCTGCTTTGTCGACATGGTAGTGTAGACGCAAAGGACACCTACAGACAATAACAGAACTCTGTCGACAGAAGGTGTTATGCCTCGTAAAATGAGGTTTACCAGCGTCGACAAAACTGCTGAGTTCTGTCGACGTTATGTCGACAGAACTCAGCGGTAGTGTAGATGCAGGTATAGTTTTGTCGACAAAAGTCCACTTTTGTCGACAAAACTCAGTAGTCTAGACACACCCTATAGTATCAGGAGCTTACATGGGCAAAATCCAGTTCTTCAGATGAGCTTGAATGAAGAAAAAAAATGAAAACTCCAGGAATATGTCTAACCCAAATGGGGAACCCTAAATGGATTGTTTTTTAATTGCTCAATCTGAGCCTTGTTCTGCAATCATGTGTGTGACAGTTATTTCCGTGTCCAGCCAGAGCCCTAAGAGTGTACATTGGAGTATGTGATATTTGTGATTTGCTTTCCAGGCACCTAAGTGATAAGTTAGGTTCTGTGTTTTTAATCCTGATTGGATTTTTTTTTTTATAAATAGGATAAGTGGAATTCACGTCTTAATATGTACATGAGGAAGCATTTTAGGAAGAGAGAGAAATGGCAGGTGGCAAGTTACTCCGGAAAATTTAAGGAAATTTTTATCTTTTCTTTTACTCTTCAAAAAGAAAGAACATTACATTTTGCTGTGTATATGCAGCCCTTCTTTAAAAAGGCTAGATTCTTTCATGATTCTGAAAGAAATATATATGTCATATTCGTCACTGGCATTTTATTTAATTTTTCTCTTTTCATTCACACTCAATAATTGCATTTGTATGCACTTGCACAATCCTATTTGCAAATAGGTGCCATGAACTCTCAATGTGTATTTTTCATTTGGATTTCTCGGTGCATAAACTCTTTAGTGACAGTACTAATACCGGGAACTGGGGCATATTCTCTCACACAACATCATTGCATATACAAATTTTGTGACATTCGGAGGGCTTTTGCTAATTGGCCCGAGGTTCATCAGCAGAGATGACATTGAAATTAGCCAAGTCATTCCACTGATCTTTCTACTGGAGAAAAATATGAGGTCTCTGCATGGTAGGACCAGGGGAAAGGACAGACTTGCTGAGCCCCAAGGCAAGGTGGTGGGAGATGTGGCTTTGTGCTCCTAGAAGGAGTGGGGCCTCAGGGAGAAGGGGTGGGGCAGAGGCAGCCAGCTCTCAGCACCACCTGGAGTGTGTCATGCTGGCTCCCTCCACCCTCCAACCAGCCCTGAGAGCTGCCTAGAGTGCACTGTGTGGTGCTTCAATGGTGATTTAATGGGCCTGGGGCTCCAGCCACCACTGTTCCTGTGGTAGCCCCCTTTGGAATTACTGGTCTCCGCTCTTTTTACCCTCCCTCCACCCCGTTGGTAGGACTGGATAGGACCAGAAATATGATAAAGCAATATAGAAGTGTGCCCCTCAAAAGTACTGTTCGTTGCTTCAGACAAATGCATAAACAAGGACATTATGCTTTTGGCTTTGTGTGTCTTGGGTTTTTGGACCCCAGGCATTGTCTGTTACCTCCTGAGACAGAGAGTGATTTTAACGAATGGAAGCATAAGCTTATCGGATTTTGTGCACTTAGCCGGGACCTGATCCAAATCAGCTACTATGCTTCCTCGCGGAGAAAGATGGATCAGCTAAGAGTTTGGTTTGAGACACGTCTGGAGGACTTTGTGCTTGTCCTCATAGTCTCTAAGCTCCAGGACCACAAAGAGGATGGATGAATGAGAGAGGGAATATTGGTCTCAGTAGTCAGCAAGTGGTACTATGGCCAGACAGCATGTCAGAATGATTTCTCTTTACCCACTGTTCTTTGGTTTTGTTATTGTGCTTGATTATGTCACAATTGTGTTCATGCACATCTCCCTCTGCATATGAAATTGATAAAAGGGTGGGTGAGAGAATCTTCATTTTCTGACTCATTTTTTTCATCCTTCGTTTCTCTTGCTTCATGTTGAGTATCGCTTTATATTTCTTTGAGCCTCTGGACTTGGCTATGGAAAAGACAAACATAACATGCATAAGTTATTAGACCACATTGGGACTGAGGTTAAGCAGAAATGAGCTTCTGGAGCTACCTGCAGATATCAGTTCTGCTGTGTGTGATGACAGTACTTTGCTGCTACTGCTGCTGCTCTAAATATATAAGGGAATTCTCTGATATGATTTGTGGCTTCTGGTTAGTTTATATAGCAATGTAAGATAAGGATGACAATGTTGTGCTTTCTGCTTTTCATGCTACTTGCTGGGCTCCAGATTTGAGCTATCAGGCCTTGCTTTATATAAAAGGGTGTCCATGCAGTTTTCAAAAACAAATCACTGAAACAAAGCCTATAAGATCTGAGCTTGTTAATTCGGTCAGGTGAGTATTCCTGAACCTGTCTTGTCATTGCTTGATTTCTGACCATAATAACATGTACCATGTGCACACATTCTTTCTCAGTGAGATGAAATCTCGATGGCAGAACCAATTAAATAGGGGGAAAGACATTTTGAGTAGTAGAGTTTCCTTCTACTCAGTTGGATCGTCCTTTTACGGGATCCTGTCCATGTTTGAACCCACAAAGAAATTTCAAAAATACACTTCTGGTGTGAAAACTACCACAAATATAGATTATTCTGCTGGATCAACTTGAAAAGTTCAGGAGCATTAGATTTCAGAATTTCATTCCCTGTTGTTTGAGAGAGATAAGGCCCAATTGAAAGGTGCTCAGATTGGAAGTGCTGATTCAGGCCCATGTATATTTAAAACATATTTAGTAATGTCCAGTGATCTTGCCAAAAGAAGAAATTACTCCTAGATACAGACAAATGTTTTGCGAATCAAATTATCTTATGTTTTAGGCTAAGATGACTCAATTGCCAGAGGCTGAAAAAGAAAAGATAGCCGAGCAAGTGGCTGACTTTAAGAAAGTCAAAAGTAAGCTTGATGCAGAGATTGAAATATGGGATGATACCAGCAATGACCTCATTGTTTTGGCTAAGAGGATGTGTGTGATTATGATGGAGATGACAGACTTCACAAGGTAATTATGCAGAAAATGTTCTTCAATATTTATAAGTGTTAGAGGCAGTTGTCACATTGGTAAAACGAGAAATACTAGGAGCTTGTAATGGCAGGTGACAAAATCTTTGTAAAACTGATTGGTAATGCTAATATAATTTAAGTTTAAAGAATTAGATGTGAAAAGCTGAAACACCAGGAGGGATGTTCAAAGTTTTTCACTTTGTTTATCCTTGAAAGAAAATACATGATGCCTATCTCTGTCCTCATTTTGATTTTTTTCACATTTTGCTCAGGGATGTTAAGAGGATCAACTGGATTAACATTTTAACTTATTTTCTTTCTTGGTTTATTCCAATAACAGGAGTAAACTGACCTCAAGAAATTTAAGCTATTTAATCTTGTTGAATGCATCACAGCCTTAGTCTTTGATGGTCAGCCTGAAGTGTCAATTTGTCCTAGTATGTATATGTTATCCTCTACATTTTGGTAATAATATATTTAACTAAAACACATTAATTGTTGTCCTGAAAAAATTCCTGACTCAGGCAAAATTTTCATTTAAATCAATGGCAATTATATCTCCACAAATAGTTGATATTTATGTCTACTGGTTTTAATTAAGCCTTAGTTTTGTTTCTTGTTTCTGCAGCACATCATTTTAAATAATTCTCTACCTAGTTGTCATTCAGTTAATAGTCATGTCAGGTTTCTGTTCTGTAGCTAGATGATAGTCCATACTACTGTAATCTGAAATATGACTGAGGTGGGTATATAATATTAATTCATTGTCTACCACATTCAGGACACAACGATAGACTCTGAGATCTGGTTCACCGTCCTTTTTTGATGAACAAAGGGCTGAAAACATCTTTTTTTTTAAATAATTTTTGTATGGCACCTAGCATACTTTGAGACATTCAGGCTATGTGTACACTGCAGAGCTATTTTGGGATATTAGAGGTATCCTGAAATAGCTATCCTATATCTTAACAGCGTGCCCGTTATTTCAAAATATAGAGTGCTCACTATTCTAACGTCCTAGTAAACCTCATTTGATAAGGAGTAAGGGATGTTTCAGAATGGTGGGTTATTTCAAAATTTGTTTCCAAATTACAAAATACGCTATTTTGAAATTGACTCTGTGATGGGGTGTACCTACCGTGGACTGATGGGCAGGAAGTTGCCTTGGCCCAGCTGACCAAAAAGACCCCTCCCCCCCACCTCATTTACTAGGCCTCCTAAATTGAACTGGAAGTTCCAGAGCATTGATCCTCTGGTAAGTGAAGACATGGCCCTAGTTTTGGATATTATTACAACTGTAGTCCTTAGTACATGCCCACTGACTCTGCACAGCCTAAACTCTAGCCTAAACATTGGCTCCGATATAAACCTTAATTTTATTCCTAGTCAAATCTAAATCTTGATTCCCAGCTCATCTTTATGCCCAATCCTAACCATACTCCTAACCTTAACCAGCTGCAGTCCACTATCTCTAGGTTCTCTTCTGTTAAAATCCCTTATGTAAAACTAATATTTAGCAACAATCTGTAAACATTCAATCCACAATAGCAAATTCAACATGTACTTTAAAAATATATTATAAATTGCTCTGAGTGACAGCTGTGTCATGTGGACAGATGGAAGGGCCATTTAAAAACAGAAAAGCAAATAAAATCAAATGTATAAATTACGTCAAAGTTATTTGACACTTTTATTAATTATCTGGAAAACAGGGTAAACAACACATTAATTAAATTTGCAGACAATACTGAATTGGGAAGGGCTGTTGATACTAATGAGAACAGGTATAGAATAGAAAAGATCTTAACATAGTTATAAATATTTGAATAAAATAGAAAAATGTGTTACAGCCTGGAAAATGCAAGGTAATGGGAGGAGAAATAATCCAAAACATAGCTAGTTGGGGTGCTGAGACATTTACAAAACTGTAAAGTTGTAGTTTCACCTCTATATTCCCTTTAGCAATGTAGGTGAGTTTGACATGCACAGTGATAACATGCCAGTATGATTGGTTTTATGGTAGATCTGCAGAGATACTATGTTTTGGAGCACAAGCAGTATTCCCTCTCTGTTTCAGTATAGAAACCCTGATGAGTCAGCACACATTAATAAGCAAAGCGACTGCATACTCTTATTGTAACCTGAGTTTTTCTTCCTATTTCCCCAGTGCTGTCTGTATTCATTACTTATTATAATCTATCTGTCATAGGTGTGTGTCTAGACTACAGGTGTTTGTCGACAAAAGTGGACTTTTATCGACAAAACTATACCTCTGTCTACACTATCGCTGAGTTCTGTCAACATAATGTCGACAGAACTCGGCAGTTTTATCGATGGAGGTAAACCTCATTCTACGAGGAATAACACCTTTTGTCGGCAAGTTATGTCGACAGAAGGCGTTATTGCATCTGCACTGTCCTTTGCGTCTACACTTTCATGTCGACAAAGTGGCTTGCTTTGTTGACAGAACAGGATGTAGTCTTAGAACATAGAAGTCCTAAGAGGATTAGTTTACAATCCAAGGACATAATGCCAGTGTTTGTATTAGGTTTCATAAGTTACCTGTTGAGGCTTATTATCAGTAAATACATTTCTAACGTTGGCTTTATTTTGTTTTGAGTCTGCATTTTACACTCCTCAATCTTTCAGTCTCTTACACTCCTTCTTCTGTACCTTTCCTATTATCTGTACTGTTTTCTTTAACCAAATTCCATTGTAAACCTTTTTTTTCTGAAATCTAAGAAGTAACCTCTATATTCTGCGCATATCATTTTATCCTTTCTTCCCAGTTGCCCAATACAGGCAGTCCCCGACTTACGCGGATCCGACTTATGTCGGATCCGCACTTACGAACGGGGCTTTTCTCGCCCCGGAGCTCACGTGTCCTCCGGGGCGAGAAAAGCTTCTCCCGGTCTCCCTGGTCTGCGGCTTTGCTGGACCCCCCCAGAAGACTAGGGGGACAGGAGCAAAGCCGCCCAGACGGCGGGGGTCCCGCTGTGTGGGCGGCTTTGCTCCCAGGCAAACGAGCAAAGCCGCCCAGGCGGCGGGGGTCCCGCTGTGTGGGCGGCTTTGCTCCTGGGCAAACGAGCAAAGCCGCCCAG